ATTTGTGTGACAAGTTGGGCATGATTGACATCTATGCTCYAACTTGAGGGGGAGTGTTGGAATAATGTTAAAACAACTTAGTTGCAGATGTTAGGGCCTGTTTGGCTAATTAAAGTGTTTTTTTATTTCGTTTTTTTTATTTCTGTTATGTCTATTATTGTACTCAAGGGCACAAGGGTCTTTTCCCTTGTTATTTCTGTCGTCCTATATATAGTAACATAAACACTGGCGCCGCCAGTACTGTTACATTGCAAACCTTCTCTCTTCTCTCCTCTCTTCTCTTCTCTTCTTCTTCTCTTCTCTTCTCTCCTCTTCCACTTATCTCTGGCCGGCTACACTGTCAAGAGGCAAGATGTAATAGACATGTCCCATGGACCCTCAAACATATCTTTAGAGATGTAAAGAGATTAGCAAAGGATATAAATGCTGATTTTAGGTGGATCAGGAGGAGTGCAAATGGGTTAGCAGATACTTTAGCCAAACAAGGGGCTACAAGGCAGCTTTTATATTGGGCCTTGTTGTAACTTTGATTGTAATTCTTGGGGATGACGTTTGGATCATTAGTCTGTAGACTTTGTACTTAACTCCACATATTTTAATTAATGAATCAATCCTTATTGCTGATAAAAAAAATGCATGTCCTTCACTTCATTCCCTTTCAAAAATTTCTGCCCTATTTATAAACTTATAGGATAGGATATTCTTATTACAACAAAATATCATCTTCTAATTTAGAAAAAGGGAACAAATTATCTTTAATGATCTTTTTGAATCTCTTAATATTTCCTAAGGTCTAACACTCCTAACTATATTCAAAATAGGAAATAGCTTAGAAGACGATTCAATAATAAACTCGGCAACTAAGATTATTATCTACTAACATCTCAATGCAAACTTTATTTTCTTCCAAGTTTTCAAAATAGGAGATTTTGGCAGCTTTGATAGTTAAAACGGCTGAGTGGATCTAATAAGTTACATCCATAGAAAACTCTTGATGCATTTGGTTGCTAGTAGGCCCATGAATGGTGTGTGGGCTGTGGAGCCCACAACAGAATCCTCTTTTCCTTAGCAGGTTTTGGCTCTCCATCATGAACCATCTCTAATAATTCAAAAGCTGGGACCAAAGTTCTTGGGCCTTTTTGCTCTAGTGGATAAATGATTTATGGACTGCATGACTGCTATGGACATCAAATAAAAATTGGATATTTCATTTTATACTTCATTTCTGTGAATTTTCACATGTCTGAATCTTGCCTTCAACTGACTCTGGTATGAAGCCCTAGCCTTTGAAAGGACTGAGGAATACACCATTCTTGGATAGGAACAAATTTAGTTATTAAAGGAGGTGTTTGGCTCAGGGAATTTAATTCGGTTCTAGGAAGACACTTGGTTTGGTGACCAGCCTTTAAAGGAGGTGTTTCCTTCTTTGTATTCTATTTCTTTCTATAAAGGTCATTTCAAATTTTCTTGTTCTTCCTTCTTTGCCTTTGAGTTTTATTTGGAATCTCGGATTTTGAAGGGGTGAGGAAGCAACTTGTCTGTCAGAGCTTCTCCTTCTTCTTGATAGTGTCAGCTTAAAGCTTCCTTGTCCAGATAGAAGAGTTTGGTTCCCAAGCTCTAAAGGTTCCTTTTCTTGTGCCTCCTTTTTTAAAGCTCTTTGTCAGTCCCCTTCCTCTCTGTCCTTTCCTTTGAAAGAAGTGTGGTTTCAGTTGATTCCCCCTAAAATTCAAGCCTTCTGTTGGGAAGTGGCTCTTAGGAAAATTAACACTCTAGATTATTTGCAAAAGAAAAGGCCTTTTCTGTGTATTTTCCCGAATTGGTGCATTATATGCAAATCTGATGGTGAATCTTGTTACCATTTACTAATTTCTTGTTCACTTGCTACAGATATATGGGATTGGTTTCTCTCTTTGTTTGAGTGCAGGTGGAATATGCCAACAGAGATAAAAATGCTATTTGACCCATCTACCTTTTCTTTACCGAAGAAGAGGGGAAGAGTAATGTGGAGGAACACTAGAGCAGCAGTGGTGTGGACTTTGTGGGAAGAGAGAAATGCTAGAATCTTCCAAGAGAAAGAAAGGAGAAAACGACAAATTATGGAGTGTGTAATGACTAGGGTTATACACTGGCTACAAACATTGGAATTATTCAAAAATTTCACATTTGATGATATTTGGAGGAATTGTCCTTTAGTGATTTCTCAGTGTAGAAGGTTAAGGCAAGGTTGGCTTGGACACCTCCCATTGGAGGATTTCTAAAACTAAACTTCAATGGGAGTAGTCAAGGCAACCTAGGCCTAGTTGGAATAGGAGGGGTCATCAGAGACAAGGAAGGAAATTTAAGAGCATTCTTCTCAGGACTGGTGGGGAATGGATACTCCTTAAAGGCAGAATTATACACAGCCCTACAAGGCGTACAGATTGCAAGAGAGTTAGGATTGGAAAATTTGGTGATAGAAGGGGACTCCAAGGTGGTGGTGGGTTGGCTAAAAAACTAGATTTAGTGATTTGGGCTTACAGAAATGAAATGAAGAAATTCAAGTGGATAACTCAGCAGATGGATGTAACTATACAATGGGTGAGGAGGGAGGCAAATGCTTTTGCTGATTCTCTAGCTAAACAAGGAGTAACTAGGGATCAGTTGTACTAGGCCAACTTGTAACTTTATGATGTTTCTGTATTAATGAGTGAGGCTGCACCTTGCACCTCATATTGGGATGCTTGTAACAGACTCTTTATCATTTTCTTCTAATGAAATCAATTGAATTTTTATCTATCAAAAAAAAAAACAAATTTAGTTATTAAATGCTGACATTGATTTATACAATGATTACTTGGTTCTAATGTCCATTTCTTATGTTTTAGAGTTGGAGTCCTTAGTTTTACAAGCTAGAAGCTAATCCTATTAGTTAAACATCTCTAAAACTTTTCAATTTCAGATTCCAAGAGATATTAAAAGGTAGTATGAGATCATCTTGTATGCTAGAGAATCCATGGAGCTGAAAAAGATTGTAAAGACAAGGAAATTCTACCCAAGGGTAACAATATTTGCACCAAATGTTTGTCCACAATATTTGAATTTGTACTTGGGGAGGGTTAAGAGATTTTACCCCTCCCCTTGCTTCCTTGTATCTGTTTCTTAATTTATTAGTAAAAAGTTCTGTTATTTATAAAAAAAGTTTGTCCACAACCCAGCTTCTTGCTCTGTTTTCAACATTGTAATGAATAATGGACAAGAAAGATATTGGTTTAGTAGGGATGCCATGTTATGGAGTTTATGGGAGGAGCGAACTACAGGAACTTCTCAGATACAAGACAAAATCATTAGATTGTTTTAAACTTGGCCACTATAATCAGAACTGCACCTGGATTTTGATGAGGGATGCTTTTAGGGGATTGGTTGTGTTAGAGGATGAAAATCATTTCCTAACTGCAGATTCTATGGCCATGGTTTGAGGATTGCTAACATCTTTCCATGGGAGTCATTAAGCCAAGCTTCAATGGAACCTTGTCTTGGTGGAGTTGATGAATTTATTGTGGTCTGATTCTGGCCCAAGGACATGGAGACTTCATTCTTGAAAAAATCATACATAACCTACCTCTATGACCTTGAGTTCTTTCTTCTTCTGGTATAGACACACATAAGTGTGGAAGCTGAACGTAAATCTCAGGTGGTCATTTGGGTGTATGTGGTGATTCCATTAGCGCCATTTTGATGTAACACCATATTAGAGTTAGCCAGGTCAAAGCCTTGTTGGAAAAGTGGACATCTTTTCATAATGAATATTGCAGTTGCACCATTTATCATTTTATAGTATGGGAAGGAGTCGCATGGATACAGTCAAGTCATATCAGGGATCTTCTAACCCAGGTAAGATCTCTTACAGTACTTGTCTGTGTTTTGTGTTTCACTCCTTTAGAATTTCTCTTTGGGTTGGCCCCCTTTTGTTTTTGAGTGCCCTTTCTATGCATTGATCTCTTTTTATCATTACTAATGAAAGTGTTATATGAAGTATGAAAGGATGAACAAATTTGGGTGTTGTATGAAGGAGTATGCTAGGGGTTCTAAATTGTACTCTCAATAATTGTGTCTCAAACCTTTTTTTTTTTTTGCAATGAGTAACCAAAACTTGTAAACTCTTGGCTTCCTTAGGAATTGCTATAGCCATACATTGAGTATGGTTTTCCTGTTTTGTTTCTTTAAATTATACATTCTGAAATTATTTTGGCAACTGAATCCTTTTATTCATAATAAATGGTTATAGAAGCAAATGATTTGTTGCTGTTGTCAAATTATTTCCTCATGCCTCTCTTATGGTCACAAATTTATAACAGATGTTCTTTCCATTCCTTTTAATGGTTTTATCATCTAAAAGGGCCATTACCCAATTCTGGTCCCAGACATCATGGTCTTGGGAGGAGTGAACTGGATACAGACCAAATGTTGTTTGCAAAGTGGCTGTCTCAGATTTGAATCTATTTCCCCACACTTATCAGCCTAATACATTACCATCACACAAACCAGCGACTCCTGCCAATAATAGTTCTATAATCTATGTTGATTACCTCTAAAGAATCATAAATGGTTTATTTTGTTCATATGAGATCATCTTAAATTCTTCTTCAGTTATTTTTTGGTTGGTAATTCTTTTCCAGGTTTTGCTTACTGAACTAGCTGAAACTTGGCCAGCAAGAAGTATGTGGTCGGCAGAACATTTATTACTAAACTATGGAGAGATAGCATTCAAGATTTCTCAAAGAAGTTCTAGGAAAATCACTATGAAGTTCAAGGATTATGTCTCATACATGAACTTTCAGCATGATGAGGACCCTCTCTACATTTTTGATGACAGGGTACTTCAAATAATATTAAAGATATCTTTGAGATGCAGAGCTTCTTAAAACTGCTTGAATTACTAACATTGTATTCTTACAGTTTGGGGAAGTTGCACCAGGTTTGTTGGAGGATTATGATGTGCCTCATCTATTCCGGGAAGACTTTTTTGATATCTTAGATAGAGATCAACGACCACCTTTTAGGTGGCTAATTATTGGGCCAGAGAGGTCTGGTGCATCTTGGCATGTTGATCCAGCTCTTACCAGTGCCTGGAATACTCTTTTGTGTGGACGGAAAAGGTAAGTTAATCGCTGGATGGAAGCAATCTTTCTTTATTCTACCTGATCAGATTCAGTGTTGTGTATCAGTATCATAGTAAGGGCAGATGCCTATTGGTCTATGATACCCAGATACCTCTACATGCCTAGCATACTGGTGTTGGATGCAATACTTACCAGATACAATACTAGATAGTGCATGGACATTTCTAGATGTATCCTATAGCATTGATACCCTTAAAACATGTAACATGGTATATTTTAACAGATTATATCATAAAAAATCTGTACATGTTAGAAAGTTAATTAAATTTGACAATATGTAAGTCTTAAGAAATGACTTTCATCTTTGAAACCTAGATAATAAACATATTATGGTAGGGACGTCAACAGGTGAGGTTCAGCATGGGTTTGCCTCAACCCGAACCATAGTTGTCATTTGTCAAGGTGACGCCTAGGTACTATGGGGTAAGGCTTTGATGATGATGATGAAGGTTTAAACAAATTAGCATTGAAAACTGAAATGCTGTAGCCGAAGCAGTAGAAGAGAGGAGAAGACCAAGAGATGCTGAGAATGTCGAACTGAATGACCCAGTCGACAGTACTATTATTTATATTAGAGTACAGTACAATGTTACAGGAAATGACTGGAATGCCCCTGATTAGTGATGGGACACCCAGACAACTTAAAACACTAAACAAACTTAGGCCCATTAACACAGGCCCAGTACATAACAACTTAAACTCAAATACAGGCTAATAAGAACTCTTATCAGCTGAACCATCAATACATGAAAACCTTCAACCTAACAAGAATGACCAATAATAGTTTTTCCATCTTTCCTGATCTTTTATCATGATTCTTTGATCTTCTTCTTTAATGCATCTAACTTGATTTAAACCTCTTCCTTTTCTTAAAAATATTCACGTACTGAAAATATTCAACAGGAAGACACAATAGCAAATTAGTGGAATAGAAATAGGCTCACCCTAAAAATAACAATTGGTTCCAACAGACGGTTGTAATGTGATCACTAAAAATGGCATTCCATGCTATTGGCTCAACCCCTTAACATTCAGTAGAAATCCTTTATTTGAAATGAGACCTGAAGGAGTTGCAAGAACATGTAACATGTTAAATGGATGAGGTTAGTTTGGAAAAAATTATCAAAGTGAGCAAAAGCTTGATTTTATGATAAACTCTATTCCACTCCTGACCTTGTTTAGGGGTGTGATGCAGGAGCTGAAGAGGCAGAATTGAAATTTTATGAAAATTTATGTATTTCTGTATTTTTGGACAGTAGGGGTATTTTTCTCATTTGTGTAATTTTTGTGGGGTCCAATAATAGGGTTTGATTGTCTAGTTATAATTTGTTTATGTTTAAAATTTCAGTCATTGAATAAATAGGATTAGAGTTATTGAGTGTTCTTTGAATTGAAATAGGATATGACAACTTACTTTGAGTCCAATTAGGATTATTGAGCCTAACAGTTGACTCCTAATACTATTATGAGTCTAACAGTTTGACTCCAAGGATTATTATGATTTTAGAGTCTATAAATATGTATGGACGTTATACAAAAAGGAAATGAATTATATTGAGTTTTCTTCAGCTTATGCTAGTTATGGTGAGTGATTCTCATGCCCTAGAGTGATTCTAGGCACCCTGTGAGTGATTCCAGGTATTTTTTCTCTTCTTTCTCTCCCCATTTTCTCTCTTATTCCTTCAAGAAGCCATTACAGCCATCAACAGCCATAAAATTCTGATCCAAGAAGACCATTCAACATTTTCTAAGGACTAGAACTGAGCTGGTCCTACATCAGTTTGGTATCAGAGCTAATGGTTTATTCACTATGTTCTCACAAAGTGACCAATTCTATAGGCCTAGGGTATCTTTTAGACAATCTTACAAGTCTAGAATCAATGATGATTGGGTCTCTGAACCAGATGAAGAGTCTTTGGTTGACTTATTTGAGAAGATGGTGGAAGAAAACCGATCTAATAATGTTGGCTATGGGAGTAAGGTTTTCAAACATGTTAGAAGAGAAAGAGAAATACTAGATTTCAAAGGAGATGATGATCCACAAGCATTCTTTGATTGGGTTGCTGAACTAGAAGAATATTTTGATTGGCATGATATGTTTGACAAACAAAGGATTAGATTTGTATGCATGAAGCTGACGGGTCATGCTTAAGTATGGTGAGAACTCTTGAGCAACAATTAGAAAAAAAGGCGATGATTCAATTAGTACATGGGCAGAGATGAAGAGGTGTTTGCAAGAAAAGTACATCCCTCTAGACTTCTATGATGATCTATATATGGAGTTGACTAATTTCGAGCAAAAGAAGAAGCAGCAGGTTACAACAATGAACATGAAGTCAATGGGAAGAAGGTACAGAGTTCAAAAGAAAGTAGATAATTCCTTGCAAGTTGATGCCTATCCTAGAGCTGAAGTAGAGGATGAAGCTAAAGAAGAAGAATTTCAAGATATAGGAGTTGTAGATATTAAAAATCAAGAAGGTGCAGGCCAGGAAAAAAACAGAAATTGCTGAAGTTTCCAACACCCATGATTAGCTTGAGGTTAATGGTCAAGAAAAAATAGAAGTGGAGCAAGCTAAAGAAATTCAGGTGCAAGATACAAATGGCTGATTGTAGTAGATCCTAGTATGGAAGTAAGTGACTTTACCTTTCAAGTTCAACTAGAACCAATTCAAGGATTACAACCTGACATAGCACATGGTCCACCAACATCAACAGTGGAAGGAGTCCTAGAGTTTGTTGATGAACCAAGGATAGCAGAACACATAGAGATGGTGATTCCTAAGCTAGAGGTTGAAGGAAAAGTTCCAAATGTTGCAGTTGGGAGTTTGGATAAGCGAGGGAAGATTTATCACAATCACTGGTTGATGAATTAAGTGTTCAAGAAACTAATGTTATTGATGATTTAACAAAGATGGTTATGGAAGGCAGTGTTTCAGAAATACATTATCCTTTTTCTAGTTATGTGTGTGGCCTCTACTCTATAGTCCAAGCATGCAGCTGTGGGAAGTCCTACTCCTTTTGTAATTGGGGCATATCATCTTTTCATCCTCACGTTCTTTAAAACTCAAGGACGAGTTTTTTTGAACCGGAGGAGAATGATGCTGGAGATGAAGAGGCAGAATTGGAATTTTATGTATTTCTGTATTTTTGGACAGTAGGGGTATTTTTGTCATTTTTGCATTTTTTTGTGGGATCTAATAATAGGGTTTGATTGTCTAGTTATAGTTTGTTTATGTTTAAAATTTCAGAGTCATTGCATAAGTAGGATTAGAGTTATTGAGTCATTTGAGTGTTCTTTGAATTGAAATAGGATATGACAACTTACTTTGAGTCCTATTAGGATTATTGACCCTTAACAGTTCGACTCCTAGGATTATTATGATTTCAGAGTCTATAAATATGTATGGACATTATACAGAAAGCAATGAATTATATTGAGTTTTCTTCAGCTTATTCTAGTTATGGTGAGTGATTCCCATGCCCTAGAGTGATTCTAGGCACCCTGTGTGTGATTCCTGGTATTTTCTCTCTTCTTTCTCTCCCTATTCTCTCTTATTCCTTCAAGAAGCCATTATAGGGTCTCAGTTGATACTGCCCTGCACTGCCCCATGAACAGCAACTATGATCTGGGGATATCAAGGAGTTGGATTTGGTATGGAATTGGCTTAATCCAAACCTGACCCTGGTTAGGCTCACTTAACTCAAAATAGACCCTCTATCTGACCAAGGCTGTTCTGAACTCAACTCAATAGGGTTAGATCAAGGCAGATTTTCAACCCATTCACATCCCTAGTGTTGTTGTCGTAAGGTGAGTTTAAAGGCATGAGACTGATGCAGGATAGGATAATTTCAAAGCAAACATGATAGAGTTCAAGTTCATAAGCAAGATAAAAAAGGAGTTAAAGAAAGAAGTAAAATACAAATAAAGTAATAATTAACAAGAGTAGGATACCTGGGACTTGCTCAATTCAATGAATATGGCTCACTATCAATTCAGGGCCCAGCCTCCAGGGAAGTTGTATTAGAAAATATCAATCATATTGAGATTATGTCTGAAAAAAGTGGCACTTCAGGATGTCTTAAAATCTGAAACATGAAACCGATTATACATTGTCAAATCTAAAGAATGTGCATGACAAGAAATAGGATAAAAAGGAATTCCCAATTTTAATGGCACCAAACCACAGAAGATGGGCTAGCAAAACAAGGAGCAACTAGAACTCAGCTTTTCTGGTATCTGATTCCCTAAGAAGGGAATATGTAAAAAGGATGGGTGGTTAGCAGGGGCTAGGCCAATTCAAGGGGTGCTTAAGCACACCAATTTATCATCATAATTGTTTACTTTAGTCAATAAAGTTTTCAGTTACTGATATAAAAATGGTGCTAAACCACAAATAAGTTTGAGTTTAGAATATTTGGGTGAGATTTTGATTTTTCCTATGTTCATAAGTGACCATTTAGGACAGAAAGATAATACTTTTTCTCCTCCATCTTCCAATGACTTGTGTTTTTCAGTACAGATTATGCTTCTTGATTTTTTTTCCCTCCATTCTTTATTTGCAGAATTAATTTCTTTCTCTGTTTAGTTGCTCTCTTCTAGAATGTTGTTTTCTGTATTGTAAGGAACTGCATGCTGACAAACATGCCAATTCTTTGTTCACTTTTAGGTGGGCATTATACCCTCCTGGCAGAGTACCTGTGGGTGTTACAGTACATGTGAATGAAGAAGATGGTGATGTAAATGTTGAGACTCCATCATCTCTGCAGGTATCCTAGCTTAACAATGCAACAGTGGATAACCATCCAGGAGTTGAATCTTTTATTTGTTTATTCATATGACCAAAATAATTTTAGGATCTTTTTTTGGGTTTTCTTTGGGTTCTTCTTGTTTCTGGTGATGTCTTATAACCTCCTGCTGTACTTCATCTTTTCTTAATGAATTTTTATTTGATTCTTCAAAAAAAAAAAAATTAATCACTTTGATGTTTCTATATCTTAACAGTGGTGGCTAGATATTTACCCAATGTTGACAGATGAAAACAAGCCAATAGAGTGTACACAACTACCTGGTGAGACAATATTCGTTCCAAGTGGATGGTGGCATTGTGTACTAAATCTGGAGACCACTATTGCTGTTACTCAGAACTTTGTGAATTCAAAGAACTTTGAATTTGTATGTCTGGATATGGCTCCAGGCCATCATCACAAGGGAGTTACTCGGGCTGGGTTGCTTGCTATCGACAATAGCAGTTTTGAAAATGCTGAAAAGAATGGATTCCATGATAAAAATCAGTCTAGTTACTCAGACATTATCAGAAAAAAGAAGAGGCTCAGACTTTTTGAACAGGGGGAAAATAAATTTTGTGGCAATGAGCAAGGCACTACAAAAGATACTTCAAAAGGTTATAGTAATTTGCAAGATCAAGATTTCTCTTATAGTATTGACTTCTTATCCATGTTTTTAGAAGAAAAGAGAGACCACTACAACTCCCCTTGGAGCTCTGGGAATTGCATAGGACAAAGAGAGATGAGAGAATGGTTGTACAAGCTTTGGGTTGGAAAACCAACTCTGAGGGAATTAATATGGAAGGTAGTTCTACATTATCCCTTTGTTTTATTTATTTACCTTTTAAATCTGACAGACTGGTTCCTAATATGAATGACAAGTCATAGAATGTCTAAATGCATGTTAGACAGCTTGGAGAAAGGACAAAGAGTGCTCTAGATGTTGGACATGGAAGACAAGACAACCTTTTCAATATGTGCACACAGCATGAGGAAACACAAGGTGTCCACCATATAGACCACTAGGATAACTACCAAGATCATAGTGGTACATCATTTGAGATCCATCACTTAGTTTGACCCAGTGATTTAAAAGGCACGCCTAGGCGCACAGGTGAGGCACATTTTAGGGTATGCGCCTCGCCTAGGTCCTAGGTGCATCCTTTCCAAAAGGCGCATGCCTAGTGCACCTAGGCGTGCGCCTGATGTGCCTTGCACCTCAGCCCAGGCATGCGCTTTTTTAAATTCTGCGCTTTTGCTTTTCTTTTTCAGCCTAATGGCTGCGCTTTTTTCTTTTTTTTTTATCCTAACAGCTAGGTCGGGGGCTTTGCCTCCAGACCCCCTATTTGCTAATGTTGTTCATTCATTCGTTCCAATAAAATATTTTCTTAAAAGGCTATTAAAGTTATAAAGTCATTATTTTTTGTGTGAGAAATAAGAATTTAAGACCCTAACACGGATTTGTTCAGGCTTGCCTTGAGGGGCGTGGTACAAAGGCGACTCGTAGAATCAAGAATGCCATATGTTTACATCACATTAGCTACTCGAAGTAATGTAATTGAGGAAAAAAAGAGATTGTGGGTTTTACATGCTTCAAAATTCTTTATATGTTTGCTTTTGTTTTTAAATTTTCATTTGAATATGCTTTACATGTTATTTTATGTATTTTAATTTTAGACAATAGGTTTTTTAAAACCTTTATTTTAAAATTTAAGTTTATATTTTTTATTAACATTATGTTTAATAATTTTTTATTATTATTTTTTTAATTTTTTGGCATTTCTTTTGAATTTTCTGATATTCGTTTTTTATTTTTTAGAATTTTTTTTTTGTATTTTGCGCCTTGCTTCAAAAAGGCGCACACCTCACCTTGTGCCTTGCGCCTCAGGCGCAAATTGACCCATAATCTCCTTGGTCAAGTATTCACACATCAGGTGATCCTAACCAGACGTGTACATGACATTTGTATCAGAAAAGAAAGAATGGATTATATTTAGGATCATCCAATCAAGTTGAGATTTTGCCTAGGAGAGCCCTTAAATGGAGCCCCAGTGGCAGTCATGTCATGTGCCAAATACCCTTTTGCTACTTGTGTTTCCCATCACCATGTGCACCACAACATGATTCCTCAGAGAATAAGTAAGAAAAGCATCTTCCTAAGATGCCTGAAAGACTCTATTTTCCTTTTCTCATTTATTTTTTAAGGAACTAAGTGCAACATGAATGGATACGTAACTAATATTTTACGCAAGAGGTATTTAATCCTTTTGTTTTGCATGAACCTGTCCAATGACTAATGCTGCATTGGTTTTGTACTTTCAGTTCTTTGATTACCTTAACTTCTTTGTACATCATCTATAATATGATTAGTTCATGTCTTGAAATGTCTTAGGGCGCATGTATAGCACTAAATGCAGAGAAATGGTTAGCATGCATGGCGGAAGTATGTGCCTTCCATAATTTACCTTCTCCCTCAGATGATGAGAGGCTTCCTGTGGGCACGGGTAGTAATCCTGTAAGTAATTTCCTGGCCATCTATGCATGAATCCTGATATTATGAAAGTTTAGTTAGAAAACCTACTCTTTCAACGTTATCCAATCACACCAGATATCTCTGGAGTCTTCATTAAGATTTTTTTTTTCATCTAAATTATTAAATTCCTAGGGCATGTTAGAGGACAATAAATTAAAAAAAAATATATATATATATGTAAACCTTCCACAAAGATTGATTTTCTTGTATGAAATAATTAAACAAATCAACTTATCGTGGGGTGTCTAGTTTGAAGCATGAAACTTAGAGGTCCATGATACTATTCTTGGGGATTTCTGTGTATAGAAAAGGAGTTGTCCAATTCATCATAATTTTGAGTGTTGGTTTGTTTAGTTCCATGCAGTGATGCATATAGTAGATTGGTCACTAGTTCCATACTTTGTGCACACTGTATCAACTGTGTATTATATAGGATGCTAGACATCATATTATCTATCCATTATTCTTTCTCCACAAGACCAAAACCCTTCCTGTTCTCATCACCATTTTAAAGCTCAAGAACATCATTTTACCTCCTTTACTCCTCATTCCTCCTAAAACCACCTCTCCCAACTCTAGCACATCTTCAGAATAGATCTTTAATGTTGCATCACAACTTAAATGGCCATGGAATGGAGCGGTGCTGACTGCTATTTACATTACTATTTTACAATGACAGGGGCACACATGGCCTTTTTTCTCTTACCAAAAGAAATAATAAGTGTAAGGGCTAAAAATCAAACATCCATTTTTGCATTCTGGTATATCATGTTGTTGCTYCTCTTATACTGTGACAAACTGGGGGAAAAAGGTTCAAATGATTATATTCTCGTGAAGCACGGAGTCGTTAGTGAAATCAAAGAAAACAAAAGCAACAGAATGGAGAACTCAGCCTAGATATCTGATATGTTTCTTCCATTTTCCCTGTACGTATCAAAGTGAATGGTTCTCTGAAAACAGGAAGGGTCATTTTTATCCAAAAAAACAAAGGGTTCAAACTGTTTTTGTTTGTTTTCATATCAAGATAATAAAGTTAGTGAACCAAACTGATAATATGCCCGGTTCCCGGTTTGTATAGTCCTACTATCCAGTATGGTCCAGGTTTTAAAATAGTGCCTTCCGATTATTAAAACTAGGGAACTAACCAGAAGTTAGTTTTTTATTTTATAGAATTCTTATCATCTAGGCACCTGCTTAGGCAACTAGGCTATTAGGTGCACAAATGTTGCCAGAATTGCGTAGATGCCTTGAAGGCATCAATTTGCAGTGATCACTGGTCTTCAATGATGTAGCCATTAATCTTCATTTCACATGCTCAAACTATCATATTCTTATTTCTTTTATCTTTCCTTCAGTTTTTGCCATCTCAAGAATCCTTTAATGTACTTATTTTTAGGACATACTGATTCAAATTACCTGATACAGAAGGTTTAAACAATACCACTTGTTGGTTGAATTTTGCTCAGCTGTCCCATGTGTTTGTTAATGATATTTAAGCAACTTGCTTGATCATGATAGACATTTATATATATATATATATATATATATATATATATATACTCTCCACAAAAGAAAATGTCACCTTTCATAGCATAAAAAGTGAAGTGTCTGTTTTTAATTAGCTTACTGGAGGTTCCATTGTAACCCATCTACCAACTTCTCAATAGGTTTATCTCATTGCTGACCATGTTATTAAGATCTACGTTGAAGGAGGGTTGGAATCTTCTCTTCATGGCTTGGGCACCGAGGTATTGTTTCAATTTATGCTATATCTTGTTGTCAAAGATTTAGACCTTGTCTTATGCGTTGTTATGAATTTTCTACCACTTGGTCACAGCTTGAGTTCTACAGTCTACTTAATAAAGTCAGATGTCCTCTGAAAGATCATATTCCTGATGTTTTTGCGAGTGGGATTGTCTTCTATGAAAACGGATCTTATAAAGCTGTGCCATGGGATGGAAAAGGAGTTCCAGATGTGATTTCCAAGTACAACGTGACTTCGGGAAATATATCAGCAGATGGCTTCTCTTTTGGTGTATGGAGCAAGAAAATATTTGAGTGTAGAAAAGTTGGCTCACCAATAAATGAATCAACTAGTTCTGTTGAACATACAAGGATATGGCCATATATAATAACTAAACGATGCAAAGGACAGATATTTGCTCATTTGTAAGTTACTCCAGATTTACTCATTTCATTTCTAATTGAGCAAGCTTAATATCTAAAATTTCTGATATGCCTGAAGTAACATGATTGGAATTTACTAAGTTGGGTCTTTACATTGTTTCTGTTTTGTTTGCAGAAGAGATATACTATCATGGGATGATGATCTAAATTTAGCTTCATTTTTGGGAAATCAACTGCGTAACCTTCACCTCTTACCAGTACCTGCTTTGGATGAGTCCATATGCTCAGATAGTCAAAGGAAGATAGATTTGCCTTTGGTGACTTTTACAGAAGTTACTGAGAGGTTCAGAGTACCAGCAGAATGGGTAATTTTTGTTGAAACAATGACCAAGAAGAAGAAGGATGTCACTAGCCGCTTGGCTAGATGGTATGACTTATTTCACCATACTAGAACTTTTTCCAAGGGTACCATGTGCTTAGAAGGCATTGAGATGTGCATTCATTTGATGTTTTTCACAGGGATAGATCTTTCGTGTTAGTTCTATTGATAGTAATTATTAACTGTGAGCTGTTTTTTTTTATTATTTTTTTGATGAATCAGTGTTTTAAAAGAGCAAGGCACAAAAGGCATATGGGCCAATTTGTGTCCAAGGTGCAAGGCGCAAAAATACAAAAAAAAATGCTAAAAAATAAAAAAATGTGAAATTTTTCACAAAATGCCAAAATTTTCAAAAAATATTAAACACAATATAAATAAAAATATAAACTTAAATTTTAAAATAAATGTTTTAAAAAAACCTATTATTTAAAATTAAAATACATAAATATAACATGTAAAGTGTATTCAAATGAGAATTTAAAAATAAAATCAAACATATAAAACATTTTCAAGTATGTAAAACCCACAATCTCTTTTTTTCCACAATTGCATTACTTCAAGTAGTTAATGTGATGCAAAACATTTTACATTCCTGATTCTACGAGCTGCCTTTGTGCCACGTCCCTCGAGGCAAGCCCAAACAAGTCCATGTTAGGGTCTTAAATTCTTAGTTCTCACAAAAAAATAATGATTTTATAATTTTAATTGTTTTTTAAAAAGATATTTTAGTAGGACGAATGAATGAACAACATTAGCAAATAGGGGGTTCTCAGAGCTGCTATGGTACCAGCTGCTAGGTTCAAAAAAAGCAAAAAAGCATCAAATTTTCAAAAGGCGCACGCCTGGGCTGAGGCGCATTAGGCACACACCTAGTCGCACCAGGCGTGCGCCTTTTGAAAGGGTTACGCCTAGGACCTAGGCAAGGTGTATACCCTAAATGCACCTCACTTGTGTGCCTAGGCACACCTTTTAAATCACAGTGATGAATAAAATGTGTTTAACAAGATTTGAACCCATGACCTCTTATTTTCATATATTGCTTATTTACCATTAGTCCACCTCTTTACTTGTTTAACTGTGAATTGTTATTAGCAAATGGTTAAGTATGGACCATTTCAGTTGTCAAATGATCAAACTATTGTAGCTATCTGATCTGTTTAGTTTTTTCAAGACAGTGGTGGCAGGTTCACTGATTTAATTGTAACTGTTGGTTTGGCTGTTTTTAGTGTTTATGTTAGTTATATTTGTGTCTTAAGTTCTTAGTTATTGGGCCTTATTTATTGGGCCTAAATTTGTTTAATGTTTTATTTGTTTTATTTGTCTAGGTGTCCCATCACTAATCAGGAGCATTCTAGTCCATTCATATAACATTATTTTATAATCATCTATATAAGATTGTAGGGCCGGCTGAAGTGGCTAAGCCACCTTTCTCAAAACTTCTTCTCTTCTTCTTCTTCTTCTTCTTCTTCTTCTTCTTCGGCTGCTGTGTTCCAGCAAACATGGTATCAGAGCACTAATCTGTCTATCTGGTTACAGCCGCCACCTTTCTTTKCTCTTCTCTATTCCTTTTTTTCCTCTCTCTCTCTTATCTTGGTCGCTGTGAAGAAACCCTAGGGCTGACCGTAGAACACAGCAAGGTCTGTATCTAGGGTTTCCCTTGGTTGTAGGGCCCAAGGGGAGTTTGTTCYAGAAACCGATGCCCTACTAGACACCTTGTAGCAGGTAGTAGCCATTCGGCTGCTAAGAGAGATCTGTGTGGAACAGATCTAGGTGGAAGGACTGACTTCGACAGTCCTAGTACAGATCGTAAGGGTGATCCCAGTCTACGAGAGCAGAAATCAAAGCCCAGTCTAGTCCAGAAGAGTCAGCACAGCACAGAGGCGGATTGTTCTTGGTTTCAGACCTGTTACAAGGGGTTTTCAGACCTGCAACAGCTTCGGTAAGTCTGAAATAGTGTTCTTTGTACTGAGTTTTCAATTGTGATCATTGTAAGAGGAAGGAGATGTCTTCAATATCGGGAGAAGTCTCTTCTAGGGATAATAGAACTGGTGGGAGGTCTCCTAATCTGGAAAATCCAAATCTGCACAACTTGCAGATCACAAG